TATGTGTGTGTATGCATGTGTGTATGCATGTGTGTGTGCATGTGTGTGCACGCGTGCACTTGGCAGGGATCAGTTTCGGGAGTCCTCTTGGATGCAGATGCCAGAAGGAAGACACTTCCCAGGACGTGTCTTGGCTTTTCCAACCCTGTGTGCTCACTAGGAGCCCCAAGGAACAGAGCAGCAGGGTTGTCTCCAATGCCGCGCACACTCAGGCAGGGAGATGCGCATTTCTAGGACTTGTGGGAGGAGGAAGAGGTAAACCGAGGGCGACTGGGAGGCGTGGGGTACCTTGGCAGGCCTTCTCCTGGACACTGTATGCGTAGCCCTCGTCACAGAGGCACGAGTAGGAGCCTGGCAGGTTCTTGCAGCGTGCCGCCCCGCAGGCATCCGAGTTTGCACACTCGTCTGTGTCTGCGAGCAAAACAGCAGACAGGACGCCACTGACTCTCACATCACACTGTGACAGCCACAGCCGGTGCTGGGGCTGGACTTGGCTGCACTTCACCCTGCACTGGGACAGCCACGGCCAGCACCAGGACCGGAGGGCCAAGAACAGCCCGTGAGACAATGTCCAGCTCTGCAGAATCGGACCCATCCCAGGGCTAGACCCCTCCCCTCTGTCTCCCAGCCCCTTCCCCTCTCTCGTCCACCTGACCTGGCAGCTCCAGGCTGGGGCTGGGGGCAGGAGGTACTTCTGATCAAGGACCCCAACTAAGAAGGCTGAGTTCAGACCAACAGACTGAGCAGCTGAGCTGGACAGGGCACTGCTCAGCCAGGAGGGCACAGAGTTGTGCTATTTAATTCCAATAACGTATAGAAAGGCAAAAAAAGTAACCCCTGGGGACCTTGTGAACTAAAGTCCCACGTCCACAGCAAACCATTTACTGGTCTCAAACAACCAGTTGTCACTGTTGGATTAAACCGCAATCCTAAGACTCGAGCGTGCTAATCTGAGAAAGAGTAGGGGCCACCACTGAGTTCCCAGGTGCCTGCAAGGTACAAACCCTGAGATAAAGAGCCCTCAGTGTGTGGAGGAGGAGGAAGGTGGGGATGAGGGGGACGAGGATTGGAGGAGGGGAAGGAGGGAGAGGAGGGGGGAAAAGGAGGATGGGGAGGAGGAGGATGAGGAAGAGGGGGAGGAGGAGCGGAAAGAGGTGGGGAGGATGGGGAGG